GGGCCAAGAGGGCACCATGCCACAGGGACACGGTTGCTCACCCACAGACACTTCCTGAGCATGGACTGTGCACCAGCACTCATCTGGAGAAGTGACAAAGAATGAGACAGAGTCCTTGCCCTTAGGCTCTTTCAGACCACACACCCTGGGCTCCTTTCCAGCAAGAGGCAGGAGGCTCCCAGTCCTGCATGGTCCCCATGGACACGCCTCACATCTCAGCCGCCAGGCACAAGTTCCTGCCTCTCTGCTGCTGCCCCTTCCAGTGCCCTGGGGTCGAGCACAGGCAGTGCAACATCCCAGAAGGGCAGGCAGCAAAATGCCAGGAGCCAGCGGGGCTGCCAGCCCACTGCCCGCTACAAGGGGCCGAGGGCCCCGGCCATGCCGGCCTCCTGCGCCCGTCACCAGAAAAGTGCTGTTGGGCTACCAGGCCTCGTGGGAGGGTAGGGCTGGGCGCAGAAATGAAGTAGCACCCTCTGCAGAGTGCACGCACTGGACACAAGCACAGAGGATAGCCTGAGACCCACCCGGCGCACCCTGTCCTTCGGGCCACCCTGTTCATCACACGCACTCGACTTCCCCCACACGGCCTGCACTACCCTGGCCGTGCTGCAAATGTTTACTGACTCAAGATGCTGCACACAAGCGGCGGGCTTCCAGCTTGGGCTTCCAGCTTCTGCTCCCTCTCTGTCCGGCTCTTCGCAGAGAGGCGTGGGTGGGTGAGCGTGGCCGGGCTCTCCAGCCTTTCCTGCGCATCCGCATGCCCAGTTGATTCGGGCCGTGCACCATCAGGCTGCTGTCCTCTCCCATGCAGCGGAAGGGGCGGCATCCTGGACAGGCTTGGGCTGGTGCAGGACAGCCCCCTACTGCCCCAGCTGGGACAGCGCTGGGGCACAGCACACTGCCCCTGATGGGGGCCAGAGGGCTGGTTCCCCACCCAGTGACCAGCCCTGACCCCAGCCCCCCGAGGACAGAGGATGGGAGCCAGGGAGCAGGGCCACCCTGAGGCCCTCCAGCTCCGGCACGGCACCCTCTGGCCCAGCCTGCTAGTCTAGGCAGATTAACTGAGAGTTAATCTGAGTTATGTAACCACCACTCCCTGCTCTCGGCTTCCTCGTGAGTCACCAGCCCCTTTGAATTCCTGGCAGGGGTCTTGGAGGAAAGAGGAGTAGGGCTGGAGCATCCATCTGCTCGCCCCGGCCCCAGAAAGCCCCTGCCACTCCCCCTGCGTCTGGCTGGTACCAGGCAGGAGAAACCCCCTCCAGCCAGACTTCAAATGTGCAAATCTAGACCAAGGGTATATCTGGTTTTCCACGCCAAGATTTACACCAACTTGGTCTCTACTGACTTGTAACCCTTTGAAGAAAACTTCGCAGCTCTGTATTTAAGACAGATGACCCCAACGCAACCCTACAGGAGAGGCCCTGGCTAAAGAGGCTCCCAGGTCGGGGTTCCAAGTTCACCCATCTTAACGTGACCTGGGGCAGCTTTCAGCACTCTGCGGGTCTCCTGTGGTCCCCACAGAAAGCGCGGGGAAAAGCAGGAACAGGGAACTCACAGAGGCACGTGGAACTCACTCACGGCGGCCCCCACCGGCACACACCTCCTGTGGGTCGGGGTCCAGGGAGGTGGGGCTAGGATCTGAGGCCCAGGGGGGGTGCAACTGTTCCCCCAGCAAACCCACCAGGAGGTACAGGTGCGTGCAGTGGGAAGCAGGCTGTCGCCTCTCCAGGGACCCCGAGACAGACATCTCCGGGAGGCATGGAGCTGTCTCAGCGTGTGAGCCGCCCTCTCCAAGGCATGGAAAAAGGGAAGCAGGTGATCATATAAATAAACAACAGTGCCAGGCAGGGGTGCCCCCCCAAGGCAGCGGATGCCAACGCAGGGGTAAGCACAGGCCAGGGGTGTGCACCAGTGCTGCTGAAAGAGTTGAGCTGCCTCCTAGATTTGCAATTTATTCGAGCAGTATTGTCCCTGATGGGTATCGCGGCCGCTGACACTCGATGGATTCCAGTTGCAATCAATTTAGTAGCAGCAGCTGGAAATCCGAGCGAGCCAGGATTCGCGGGGAGCGCGGTGTTTGTGGACACAGCGTTTGACTTCATCCACTAAAGCCTGGCTGCGCAGCCCCAGCTGCTAGAGGACTTTACAGCTGGCGACAGAGACAACCAACCCCCTGGATCCCTGCCGCGAGGCCCAGACATAGCACGGTGTGTGCCCCTGTGAGGGCTTGCGAAGCTGTGAATTATGTCACTACGCACACACAGGGCCTCCCAAATAGAAGGGGCCAGGGAACGTCAAGCAGGAGGACAGACCGACTGACTCAGGGACACAGCCTAGGAATGAGCCTGGAGCCATCTGCTGGGGTCTCTGTCCTGAGCACAGCGTACTGAGAGCTGTGCCTGGATGCTCGAGCCCCCGACCAGACAGCAGCCCCGGAGGTCTGCAGCCCGGAGCCCACTAGCAACCAGCAGCCACACTTGGACTGGGCTGCCTGCTGAGCAAGCAGGCCCACAAGCTGCCCGGGGTGATCCGGCACGGCTTGCTGAGCCCCTGGGTGCTCTTCAAGGACTGCCTTCTCCGGGCTAATGGAAGTAGCTTTGCAGCTTTGATACAAATACCACCACGACCAAAAAAAAAAAAGACATAAAAGCAGATCGATAAGACTCCATCTGTTTCTCCTAAAAAGTCAAGGCTCCACGTACAGCTCATTTCCAACACAGAAGCAAAAAGCCCGGCGCAGGCTGCTCTGGGAGCTGAGAAGCCCCTCCCTCGGCTCACAGGGGGCCTCGGGCCTTCTGTCACCTGAGCCGGAGGCACAGCGTCTACCCGTCCTCACCAGGCTCCAGGCTTGGCAGCAAGGTGCCCACAGATCACCTGGGGAGCCACGGCTGTCAAGGGCTGTCTGGGAAGAAAAAGTACATCTGTGGATCCCGAGCAGGCAAGCCCCGGGCGCTCACCCCTGTGTGCCAGGCATGACGCAAGCCCACCCAGGCCTTCCGCGTACGGCCTCCGACCCTGGCCAGGAGACATCATCCTCAGACAAGACCTCTCCATCAGGTTCCTAAGTAGGTGACAGCTCACTTTACACGCACATTTACAGAAAACCCGCACCAACATCGAGGGAAAAAAACAAAAGGTCAAACTTCAAAATCACCAGCAGAACTATTTCTGAAAGTAAAATCCCAAAGAGCTCTTAGGTGGGGACACTCTGAGGGAACGGCTCTCGAGAATTTTGAACGGAATTTTAAAGAGAAGCTCCTTTCCATGGTATCTGCTCGGCTCTCCCCTTATCAAAATGTACTAATCTTTCAACCTAGCAACTTAGCAATAAGAAAAAAACGTCTGTACAAATAAGTTGCTGTCGACAGCCAAGTGCCAGACGGCAGCTTGCAGGAGCTGACCACGTGTGGCTGAACAGGGTGGGGACCTGCTGACCAGTCCCCAGGCCCTCCAGGTCTGCCTGAGACCTGGGACGATGGAGGCAGAAGAGCAGACAGCAGGCAGCGGGCACCTGGGTCAGGCCATCCCGGCAAAGCTGTCCTCATTCCGACTGCCAACCTCCCAGCACCACCAAGCCTAACCTCATCAACCCAAGCACACTCATCGAGTCAGGCTCGGCCAACACCCAACAAGATCAGCTTCAGTGATTAACCTTTTAAAGCCCACAGCAGCAAACAAGCCCAGGCACCAGGAGAAGGAACGCCAATAATAACATCTGACAATTTTCACTAGATGTGTTAAACAGCATTTAGCCCTGGATGCCAAATCGTCTCATAAATCAAGGCTAGCTAGAAAACACTTGGCACGTCACCTCCCCCCCGCTTTCGATTTCTCAAAATCAGGACGCGTGCTCAGCCCCCTCCCCGGCCCTCTCCCCCCAGCTTCCCCCGGAGGGGGCGGCACAGCCCGCCTGCTCAGGCAACTGCGACCCCTTTCAGCCAAGGCGGGCGCGCAGTGCATCCCAGTGGACAGACGGGAGAAGGCAGGCAGGCTCTCCGCCTCCACCTCTGTCCTCCCGGTCTGGGTGCCATGGAACCCCAGACCCAAAAGCCCGCTCTGCCGAGCCCCCTGGCAGGGCGGCAACAGCTAGGAGGCAATCTGCTCCTCAGAAGGGCACAACTGTGCCCTGGGGAACCCTGGGGCAGCTAAGGCAGAGGCTGGAAAAGCCAGAGCGCTTGGGAGGTGGGCAAAGTTTTCGGAGAAGGGTCTTTATGAACACCCCCTCCATGGGCGCTGGGATCGGGCCTGGCTCCAGCCGGCCCTGGAGTCAGGGACACAGACAAGCCCGGGGGCGCACCCACGAATGTGTGTGTGTGTGTGTGTGTGTGTGAGAGAGAGAGAGAGAGAGAGTGGCAGTGGGGGGTGCCTGCCGGTGCTCACCAAGAGCCCAAGCTCGCCAGCCCCAGCTGCCCGCCAGCTGTGCGCGACCGTCGGACCCGCAGGTCACCCAAAACAGCTGGATCGGCAGCTGGGAGCCGTGACGCTCCAGCTCAGCCCCAGCTCAGCCCCGGGCCGGGAAGAGAAAGAGCAAGGGCGGGCGGGGCGCTGCCTGGGCTCCTCCAACTCCGCCTGCAATGCTCTCGCCAGGAAGCAGGAGCTCCGGTTCGCCCCGGCAGCCCCGGCCCCCGCTCCCGCCGCGCCCAGCAGCCCGTGCCTCTCCGGAGCTCGTGGAGGAGGCGCGCCGGGGCGGCCGGCCAGGACACTGCGCTGCTGGCGCCCGGGGCTGCGGACGCGCCCGGCCGGTGCGTGGCCGGCTGCTAGGGCGAGCGCCCTGCCAGATGCCCCGGGCACTCGGAGACCCGGAGGGCCGGTTGCTCCCTGCGGGAACGCGGGGCTTGGAGAGCCGGACGGCGGCCCCCTCCGGCTCTCGGGGAGTGCCGGCCGCGTTCGGAGAGCGGGGATGGGGTGGCCTTGTATTCGCGACACTGAGGAAAGCGCCGCTCCAGCCCAGCCCGGCACCCACGCACCCAGGCGCACCCTGTCGCCGGCCGGTCGCTCACCTGAGTCCTAAAAGCTGTTGAATCCACATGATCACGTTTCGGGGAGCGGAGCCTCAGACCTCGCTCGCCCCGGCCATCTGCGCGGCGCCCGCGCCCGCTCGCTCCCGTCCCGCGGCGCCGGTCTCCGATCTCGGGCCGCG